ATGCTTGCTAGTGACTTGCTACAGGTTGGAGTTTCCTGGAGTTCTAGTGAGAAGTCATGACCAGTGAGGTCCATCCAGATGTCACGTGTGAGGATGGATGTCCCACCGACGACACTGGTTGGGGTCGCGCTAAATCACGAATTGGTAGAAGTTAGAATTCATGAGCCATTGAATCGGGTCCCAGTGGCTGAATGGTATACGAGCTTGTCTTGTAACCGGAAGGTCCTGGGTTCAAACCCTGGTGGTGGATGCGTACTACCGATGATTCCCAAACTAGGATGAAATAGCTGTCTGGCAGTACTCCCTGGTTTTCAATGGTTCTCTAACTGATATCAATCCGTGATCAACTCGTAAAATCGAATTTAATTAACAAGAAGTTTTCCTGCTCATCGCTAATCATTAGCATGGCGAAACCTTGGGAAAATTAGTATTTCAGTTTCTAGTTTGAACCTATGGAAGTTAAAGACTATACACTTAAGCCACCCACAGAACAAAACTAGTAAATATTAATTGGACACTGTATGGTAACCATTGTAGGTGTCCAGTTTTCAATATGCCCATGGATTTCCGTGAACTAATTATGCATTATGGCCGTTGAAATAAGTGATAGTAAAGTACTACTTACTACTTGTTGACTGATATAAGTAGTTGGATGACGATCACATCAACCATTAAGGCCTGTTAGCTAGACTAAAGTGATCTACACAGCGGAAGACCGTTTCTCTAGTTTGACTGTGTGATCTGAAATGAAACTGTGGTGAAATTTCACCTCATCGAACTGTGTAAACTACAAAAACTGAGAATTCGATAAGAGACGGTACTATTTTACCGATCTTGATGAACACAAAATCTAGGCTCATAGATTCATGTTACTGTTGGCTGCTGCGTCAAGCACATTATGTGAAACTATCGTTTTGAATTACTATAGAATTAGACAAATGCAGACGTGAATGTAACATATAACGTTTACATGTGATGGTAGGTAGGCTTTTGGTGAAGTTTAGCTGAATTTTTCTCTACTTGGTCTCATTGTTACTGTCACACAACAACACACACACACACACAAGCATACACAAACACAATAGACGAAACCACCTGCCAGTTTTTCATGAACAATTTAATAACCACTTTATCTTATAAGTTTGGCTACAAATCAATGTGTAAATAAATTTATTTTGATTTGCGTAGAATATTTGTTTTCTTACACCAAACTAAACAGTTGATTAGTTGTATTTCATATTGATAATATTCATGTTTTTCTTTTGTATTGATCTTTTTTTTCTCTTATTTAAAACTTCCGCTAACCGAATATTCAATGTTGAATAGAACGCTGTTATAAGTGAAAATTTTTATTTCATTCATTACGGTTTCCTGACAATCGTTTAATTTTTATTTCTGACAATTTATTTGCTGGTACGTTTTTTTTTTAAAGTGTCATTGTATTGTCATCTGCCAGCTTTATAGAACAACTCAGTTACACTGCATATCATCTTGATGATCTTAGCTACTAATCATAGTCAATTTCCCGAACGGGGAAGGATTCATTCTACTACTCGGTGGCACAATGTTGTGGGCCTTATTACTACTATCTGAAGGTTTACTTTGAAAAACCCAGTCAACAGGAGTCCAACCTCTTTGTGTATTGGATTTATTTATTTGATTATCGAAATGATAAGTAATCTTTATTCGTTGAATAGCATCTTAGCAAAATACTCTAATTCTGAAATAGAAATTAAGCCTGATTAAACATTTCAGTTACTAGAGCAAATCATCATCATTGTTAACACTTTGCTTTCTCTTCCTACTCGTAGACTATATTCCAAGGTAAATTGTCACTAGTATTCGCACTGCATCTCTCACTTTTCTACAACTTACCACCATATCCCCGCAATTCGAACTGTCATCTGATTCAGCAAACTTGACAGATTTATTTCATCAATAGTCACTACGATTAATTCATCTCAATATTGAGCCAATTCACATTTGACCAGAAGTAATAAAAAATAAGTCTGATCAGGGATAGATATCGGTTAGAGAACCATTGAAAACCAGAGAGTTCTGACAGACTGCTGTTTCGTCCTAGTTTGGAACTCCTCATCATTACGCATCCACTCGGACTCGGACCCAACACCTTTTGGGTATAATGCAAGCTCGTGAACCTTTCAGTCACTGAGATCCGACTCAATGGCCCATGAACTCTAACTCCTACCAATTCCGGATTTTAGGACAACCATGAGACAGTGTCATCGGCGCGTACATGTCCTCACTTCCGACCTGGTGGACTCGACTGCTCACTACTTCTCACCAGACATCCATCCAACTTTGTCCTGTAGCGTGCCACTAGCGTACATCAAGATCTATTTTGTAAGGATTTGATTCCATTATGGGTAAATTTATTTTGATAAAGTCTCACTACGAGACGTTATCAAAATGAATTTGACCAATAATGGAACTACACTCTACTACAGTGCACAAGTTTTATTCTTATATCAAGGATTTGATTTGTTTGTTTAAACATATCAAAAGTACAAAATAGAATAAAGGGTAAACGACGTGTTGCTAGGCTATTCACATACATCAGAACAAATGTGTCCAAACGCTAGTTCACTCATATTCCTATATATTTTGTTATGACTCAGTAACATGTTTCACACGGTCAGCCAACAAACATGTAGTATTCTAGTTTAGGCAGTTCTATGTGGTGCTCAGCCGATCTATTTAGTTGACACAAAGAAGCTAAACGGTTTAAACACCTGGGAGTAAATATGTCCAAATTTTATTTCGTTTATAATGGTGCTTATTTGGTTAGCTTAGGACAAGCCTAATATTGTCAAACGAAATGAGGCTTAACAAAGTTCCAGCTTGAAAGAATCTATGTTCACATCAAAGATACTACCAGCCAAATAAATAATTTAGATGACGATTCGGTCACATATCTACCCAAAAAATCATACAGTATACTCAGAAATACGATATCTCAAGTCTAGACTATACGATCTGACAGTGTACTTTATGTATCTAATCTAATCAAACATATAGGATTATGAATGAACTAAAATTAAGACACATTTACTCCAATATATTTGAATAATGTACTAACATACTTTTTGACGTCATTCTCAGTAGGATATTGATCATCAACAGGTGAAGCATAAGTGATGCGTGACAGGATTAGTGAAAATCAAAGTGTATTCTCTTTTTTCTGAATAATTCAATATGAATATTAAAATCTCACTCAGTATTATATATTGTCATTGTTCGCAAAATGAAGAAAAGACTTATTTTTTCCTTAAAACAAGGTGTAATGCACATTCACCGTTCGAACGAATTGAGTTTTTTACCAGCTGAGTAGTCAGAAAACACAGTGACTTAGGCTGTGTATTTAAGTGTTGATGAGTTTATAACACCATAGGTGATTAGTTTTAGGGCAACTAACTATATAAACAATACTAAGCATACTCAGCGTCTTACTAAGTGACACTGAGAAATCAATCAGAGTAGCAGCATGACAGTAACACATCAATAATTAGAAACATATATTCGAGACGAATACATGAATAAAAGTAAGTGTGATCCCACTAACCGTAACCTGAAACAAGCACTGATTCTTAACCACCTAAATCTTAAATCTAACTCTAGGTAAAGAAAAAAAGAAACAACAACTCAGGATGATTACAGGATTTTCATCATGAGCTGACATTAGTTAGAGAGCCATTGGAAAACCAACAGGGAGTACTGGACAGCTGTTTCGTCCTAGTTTGGGGCTCTTCAACGGTACACACCCACACCACTGGGTTCGAACCCAGGACCTTCTGGTTACAAGGCGAGCTAGTATACCATTAAGCCACTGGGACCCGATCCAATGGCCCATGAATTCCAACTTCTGCCAATTCACGAAATAGCGCGACCCCTAGCCAGGATGAAATTGCAGATTAACTTGTGAATAAATGGAATGGAGTGCTAAAAGAACAAGGATCACCCTGTTTTTCAAACTTTATTTGGTAAGTTGTTGAATCTTATTGCTATTTGTTTTAGCCATCAGTTTTAATATTAATAAGAAAATGCCTTGATGGGGAAACTATCTGTGACAAAATGATAATAGTGGAAATATTCTAGAAACAAAAATTATTACATATTTTTAGTTAAAGAGTTGATTACCTCATCATTAGTTAACCAGTTTTGATAGGGTTATTGTTGAAACATCTACAGTAACACTAGATCCACTTTCAACATCTTCGTGAATCAATTATTGTGGTTATAGATAGATTTGGACCAACAACGACAACAGCAGAAATTCGAAGGAAGTCGATTCCTTCACTCATCTACGCAGCATCGTTTCAACCACAAGCAGCAGCATGCGTGGGATGTCAAGACCAGAATCAGAAAGGCAAAACAGACATTCATCACTCTCAAATCACTAATATGGAAATCTTCTACACTCCACACCATAAAAACAACAAAATTCGGATTCCCAACACCAATGTTAAGTCATTTAAGTCACTTCTTCTGCATATGTCAGAACATTGCAGTGCGCATCACAAAATACATTTCCAACAGACTACTGAAGATTCTTATCAACAACTGTCACCTTCGCTGGCTCTATAGTGAATATCAGATGGCGGGTCGGAAAGAATTAGCAACAGGTATCTCAGGTAGAGGACCAACCAAGAAGGTAATTCTGAACAGATATTGCGGAGAAACTGAAGATGAGTGACCGTGTGTTGATTTCTCATGTCAGGTTGTCGAGTGGAGGCCGAATGGGGAGTGGCAACTTATGTGTGTGTGAGTGTGAGATGGAGGAGATCGTGTGAAGTGTGGGGTGGGGTGGAGGACTAGAAAATGAGAGTATATGAGTAAGTTAAAGAATAATTGTGGTTCCAGCTGAAGAGGATTGTATAGAGGAGGGTGGAATGTGGATGTGCTGTTGAAGTCGTATGTTCTGCTTGGAACCGAAGGGAGTAATAAAAATGCTCATAGAAAAGACTTCTCATTCAACTTACCAGAATCCATTTGAACTTGACGTTTTCTGATCTGAAAGGATAGGCAGAAAAGTAAAACAGTAAAATTCTTAATCTTATTGACAATATGTCTGTGCAGTACAATTTTGTTTACTTCTAAAATATATACTAGTAATACTGACACTGAAAGGAACAATAACAAAAAGGCTGTTTTCCACTTTCTTTTCCTCGATCCGTTGACTTACTGAAATGTTTATGTCCTGATGACTTCGTATGGATGAACTGATAATGAATTCAGGGAAATGATGTCAGATTTCGACTATACTTGAAAAACTAGGAAGAGGTAATTAATCGGATAAAGTTTATATAGCACTTATTTTTGGTTTGACTGCTTGAATATGTCAAACAGCTAGTTGGAAATTCATAAGCTTAGAGTTTAATTAACTGCTTATTGTGTTTAACGAGTGATGATGCCTAACACAATCTAAAAACACATGTACACCTCAGTTCATTGTTGTTGTTGTTATCATTATTATTTGTTTCACTATAGTTTGGAAATATACCACAACTGACATTGAAAAACTTATAATGTTTACCTTCATTTGACAACAAATTAAGTGAAAACAATTATTCTGTTTATGAGTTAGCACAAATTATATCACGCTTTGATGTCAGTCAATCAGCTGAACAATAAACAAATTGATTTGTTGAAGTAAATGTATCTGTATTAAAGGTGAAATCAGATGAATTGAGTTTTTATCTATAGAGTCAAAAGAACCCATTTACTAAGAATTCTTCTACCTAAACAATAAGAATCGGAGGGGACAATACTAGATTAAATGTCAGACAAGTGTGTTGCATCTCAAATGACCTATGAAGTTAAATTTAAAAGATGACGGTTAACTGAAGATAACAATGACATAAAAGTATATTAGCCAGATTATTTTAAATTAGCCTCTAGTGGGAGAGAATATAAAAGACGTTTCAGGGGATTAGCTTTACTGTAATTTGCATTAAGTAACTGATAACATGGTATTTTTTCATCAGTATATATATATATATTGGCTGGAGGATTTCATCATGAGCTGACATCAGTTAGAGAACCATTGGAAAATCAGGGAGTACAGCAAAACAGCTGTTTCGTCCTAGTTTGGGACTCTTCATCAGCACATGCCCACACCTGGGTTCGAACGCAGGTACTCCAACTCACCTTGTTAATGGCCACGCTATGTCGTGAATCGGCAGAAGTTAGAATTCATGGACTGGCCATTGGATCGGGTCCCAGTGGCTTAATGGTCTATGAGCTAGCTCGCCTTGTATCCAGAAGGTCGTGGGTTCGAACCCCTTAGTGTGGACGCGCACTAATAAAGAGTCCCAAACTAGACTGACGAAACAGCTGTCTGGCAGTAATCCCTGTTGATTTTCCAATGGTTCTCTAGCTGACGTTGGTGGCACAGAGGTAGAATGCTCGCCAACCACGTGGGTGATCCGGGCTTCGATTCCCTGCCGACGCACTCCGAAACCTCGCTTAGTCAGTAATAAGACTGGTAAAGAGGGATGGTTGGGCATGAGGCTAGCAACCCTAACCCTGAAAAAATAAACACCACTGTTACAGAAACTTCAAGCCTCTAGCTTGAAGCCCTATGTTACACTAGGAACGTAAAGGAATAAATATATAATACTATGAGACCGTAATTTTACTTGACAACATTCCGAAAAATTCATGATGCAGGTTTCAAACGCTTAAGTAACAGTTATCTTTTCAAAGTTGCAAGTATGAGTACGAACAATCGCTAGGCTTGAATTCACAGGCTGCTCCAGACCCATCATACCTGACATTCACTGCCAAATCACAATGCACCATAATACACAGTAGCATAGTTTTATTTGGCTTAATGACCCGATTATGTCTGTGTAGTAGACGGGTTTCAATCAGCATGCATTGGACTGGATAACTACACTGATTAATCCGGATTTCCTAAATGTATTTCTACTTGAATAAACACAGAGATAATGTACAATGTTGCATAATTCTTTCCAGTTGGATAACAAAGCAAAGAACACGGTGAATTAGATTAGGTTGCAACGTAATAGTTATGCCTAGTGGGTAGCTCAGCTGGAAGTCAAATCAGTGATCTAAACAGCAGTGGTTTTAATCTTATGATTTTCAATCTAAATCACTATTCATAAAAGATTATTCTATGAGTAAAGGTCATATATCGTATATCGTGAACATTTACACCCTCAAACTTATTTAAATTATTGATTGCTAAATATTGATTGAGGTAAGTGGTTATAAAATACTCACAAATGAAATCATGAAGGTTATGAGGAGGTCATGCAAGTGAATACTTTCGCGTCGATTAATAATCGATAAACCAATGACACTATTTATCTATTTTGTATAAAATTTTAAAATTTATGAAAAATAACTTTTATTTCAAATTATCTATATAAATACCTTTCAAATGATCGAAATCCCCATCAAGTTATACAATGAAAAAGAAAGGTAATGTTGAGCATCCATTGAGTGTTAAGCAAACTTTAAGTTTTACAAAAGTTTGACAATCTTATATACGTGTACTATAGATAGTTGACGTGAATAAGCTAACTCAGTCGAATAAATAATGTTTTAAATCATCTTAATCCTTAAAAGTAGGAAACATGATGATTTCGACAATACAGAGAAGGCGTATGGTATTTCACCACGATCCCGTAGCGGTTAGAGTACTGAACATCTATTTCATCCTAGTTTGAGACTCTTCACCAGCAAACACCCATAATCCCACTGGGGATGGATCTAGGAACCTTTTGGTTATAAGGTGAGCACCTCACCATTCAGATAGTGGTGCTGAATCCTATGGCCCATAAATTCTAATTCTCACCAATCCTCACAACTAAAAGGTCGTGGGATCGGTTGGCGGTTGGGATTTGGATGCATACTACTGAACAGTCCTAACTACGGCGAAATAGCTGCCCAGGATTCCTGATATTCACTGCTTCTCCAGTTGATGTTGGTTCGTGAGGTAGTTTTACCTAATAATCTATCAACCCCCTACAAACCAACACTTGAAAAAAAGTATTATCTGAATTTCCGTGGATTGCATATTCCTTTTGCATTTGACTATCAGCTAAATTTAATGAAGTGGAAATCACCGTTTCGACTTCAGATTTTCCGACAAAATACCCATCTTTATTATGTTCATCCAGAGAAAGTTATCTCATTTTGTTTTACAAGGAATATTATTTACAAATTTTTATAATTGGTTCAATCAGCATTCACAAGTGAGATTTTATTATATCGAAAATACTATGGATAGTATGCAAGGTAGACAGAAGCCAGATTGATTTAAGTTAATCGGATGTTCAGGATTTCAGTAGTGATAAAATGTTAGTAAAAATTTGGGAGAGAGAGAAAGAAAGTGTTTCTACTGTCGATTAGAAGATATATACACCATTTTTCAGTATTCCAAGGATGTCTGTTTTAAAGCTTAAATTTCAGTGCATCACAGTTGTCTGTAAAACTCGTGACATTACTACGTCTTCTCGTAGACTGACGGTAGACAACATGTAGCTTGGTTACTCGAATACATGTGATTAAAAACACAGTAATTCGGATGCCTCAGAATAGCTTGGTAATATGCTAGGTATCACTGACCCTATTACTCTAACCCTATGTATTGAATATTTCTACCTGACTAGCATTAAACATTTAGGAGGTAGGCTGTTGTGAATTGGAATGCATCATGCACACACACAGTCTGCCGTAGTCACAGCACATTTATAACTTTGTTACTTGACAGACATACATGGGATATGATTACGCTTAGTAAACCTTGTCGAGTGGATTTAAACTCTCTTAAAGTACTGCCATTAATTTATCGGAAACCATGCCACACTGAAACAGTTCTACAATTTACAAATGTATTTAAAAGCCTATTCACAGGGGAAATTTCAAATAAGAAATAAATGGTATTCTAATTAGATAAAGGTAGAAATTATAAGAGAATTTAGTGATTTATAAAAATTTAGCAACAAATATGATTGAAACTGTGTGAATTTTTTGGACACAGTAAAAGCGCACACTTTATTCGATTCCATCTAGCATGACATAACACAAAATAACAAAAAAAAATGCTGAAATTGATTTTTAGAGTTGAATAGAAATACTTTAAGTTGTATGACATTATTAATATTAAATTACATGCAACGTTTACAGCAACCGATTGTCTTAACATAAATGGATAATAAATCAGTGGTACTTTAAAGGTAAAATCATTTGAAGCTGTTGATGATGAGGTTGAAACAGACAGTATTCAGAAGGGTACCTTCATAACCATTTCTTTCTTCTTCTTCCTTCACGTTCCCCCAGTGGAACATAGGGCTTCAAGTTAGAAGCTTGTAGTTTCTGTAGCAGTGTTTATTTTATAGGATGGGGTTGCTAGCCTCATGCCCAACCTTTCCTCTTCACCAGCATTATTTCTGGCTTAGCGAGGTAAAGGAGTACGTCGGCCGGGGATCGAACCCCGGACAATGTGCATGGTTGGCGAGCGTCCTAACCGCTATGCCGCCGACGCACTCATAACCATTTCAACTCTCAAAAAATTGTTCAGCAAAATTTGAACTGCGAAGAAATCTATTTATGAGAATTTCAAGTTTACAGAGATTTTCAGTCAATGTTGTTTACTGCCCACAAATAATTAATTCAAAAAAACAACTGAAGGTGACCTGTTTAAAACCTGAGCTGCCAAAATACTCCATCGTTTCATCTCCGGTAATTTCACTCATTCAGTTTGTTTTAACCTATTAAAATACAACCTCTAATTGTGTTTTCTACTCTGGCGGGTATTTTAAATGTCTTCAACCTGCTGATTTGCAAGTTTCAACCAAACTTGAGGAAAAGCAAAACCATGGATGGCAACGTGTCCCAATACGTGAAAAAAACTTTCTGAGAATTTCAGTACAAAACACTACTGCCTTAGAATTGGAACTAATTACCTACAGTCTTCAATTATTCAGCTATTATTATATCCTTAGGTAAAAAGAAATGTACTCCTACACCTTTTGTAATTGGCTTTCAACCAATTGTTATGCATTGCTCGAAGGCGGCAAAGAAGAAATACCATAAGAAGTTGGTTTTCTCAATGTGTCACGCAATTAACTGTTAGTTACTATTTTACTAGAAGATCCTGGGCAAAGAGAAACTATTATGCAATAATTTCCGGTGAAAATTCTGTAAATCCTGCTCAGAATAAAGCTATTATTATTATTACTCTATGAGGCTTAGTGTTTATTTAAGAGTGAGAAAAACTATTGGCTATAGTGGCCTTTTCCCATTGCTTAATTGTGGTTAGTAGTAACAGTGTTCACCTAAAGCAGGTATTTTTCATTGAACGAGATACGTAAGGTAGACCAATACAAGTTATTTTAAGATTTTTAAGAAGGTATGAATACTATTTCCCCATGATTTCTAAGGGGATATTACCATGAGACAGTTTTAAGCATTCTCTGTTACATTGTTCAGAAAGTTCACAAGAGTCCTGCTTATTCTGTAACGGCAGAAGAAACACAAGTTGTAACGGACTTTCTTATTAGGGAAAAATGCATCACATTTATACATTTTTAACCACATTAAAAATCAGCTAGGCCAGAGGACAATAAACTGTTCTGATTGGTTCGCCGTTGGCCCAAGATTAATCAGAGGTACAGAAAGTTGTTCAATGATATTATCTTCTGACCACAAAGTAAACTAGATCAAGATTTGAGGAATTAACACTAATACCTCTGCAGCTACTGAATAAAAAATGTTGATTTCAGTTTCGGCTGTTTCCTGTCAGTCTGCATCTTATAAATCTTGTCCGCAGCACAGTTCCATTTGAAGCAAAGCCTAGTGTGACTTAATCTACAGTTTTGAGGAAAACTTAGATTTCTGGTGGCTAAAAATTGTACTGCGTACAATCTTCACAGACTTCATTTTTATAGCATCTTATTTTTTTGTAGTGTACTGTTCTGGCATACTTGATTACTAAACAATCTCTTGTTCTGATGCGTAGTTTAGTTATAAATGGCGTCAAACACTATCATTAATAAGATCAAAAATTAAAATACAAGATGCTCTAGGTCTGACAAGAATTTCATGTATTGCAAAGATACACTATCTCGATTCCATCTGGCTTCTTTGTATTTCCGTTCTGATGCTAAATTTTTGTTAATCTACCGAACAGAGCCAGAAAGTTATATTGTTTCATCTAATGATTAAATTCCATAACTGGTAATTTTTCAGTCAGAAGAAATGTAAACCCCTTTGATATATATATATATAGCCTGATAAACAACTGATAAGCCATTCAGTACTATAATATATAAATTATATCTGTGTTTTCACTTGAGGAGTTAATCTTAGGTTTGAATCGCGCAAAAAATATGTGCACGGAAGTTTATTCTCAGTACCAAAAAAGACTTCATTGTTTCTTCTGAATTACACTTGAAAATTTATAAATATAAACTTCCCTAATTTACTAGTCCACTAGTTTTCCAACCAGTCCTAAGCCTGGGAAAAGATGGAAGGTTGAGAGTAGGGCTGGCGACCTTACTCCACATGTGACATACGATCCATAAAGAAAAACTCAGCAAGGCATTTGAAGTGAATACCGGAGTAAGACAAGGCCGGTCATTATCACCAATGATATTCCGAATTGTAGTGGACCAGATTATGCGGCACACCGTGCTTGGGGAATGAGAAGACTGGAATATGTTGGACAGATTAGAAGACTCTAAAACATCTGTACTTTGTGGAGATTCATGTCTAATGTCACATAAATTTGAAGAATTACAGGGGAAAACCGACCAGTTTGCAGAACAGGCAGGCAGCGAAGACAG